GGTTGGTTGTGTGTGTTTTGGTTGTGGTGTGTGTGTGGATGTGTGGGGTGGTGGTTTTGGGTGTTGGGGGAGGTGTGTGTGTTGTGTGGGGTGTGTTTGGGTTTTGTGTGTTGGGGGTGGGGTGGGGGGGGGGGGTGGGGGGGGGGGGGGGGGGGGGGGGGGGGGGGGGGGGGGGGGGGGGGGGAATAAAATTTGAAGGGGAATCTCAGCTATTTATTGGGCAGGCACCAAAACAAGAGTGTGTAAGCCCTTGTTCATGCCATTACATGTCTTTTAATTTAACAAATAGCCCTAGCCACTGGTATTGGCACTTATTATAACCTACATTTAAACAAGAACTGATGCTCGACCAAATGAACTAACTCACATTAAAACATATACCAGAACTTCTCCCTGGGTCTTGTTACTGAGGGTTATTTCATGTGCAATGCATCTTCTTTAATAAAAGATACATGCAGTGTGCAAATATGAAGTTTTATAATCCAAGCTGTTCTTTTTATTTTTATTGTTGTAGAATCCTCAGTCCTATTAATCTAAGCAAAGATTCAAACAAGATTTCCATTGAAGTCAGTAAATTAAAGAATAATTTAAGATTTCTTGATGGAGGGTGAGGAAAACAAAGAGAAGATTCCTCTTAAAGAAAGGAAGATTAATGATGGCCAGTCATCCAATGCATCAGTAAATGGTGATAATGCAGAAGATGAATGCCAGGGTTCCTTGTGCTCAAAGCGTTACATCATATCCATTTTGGCATTACTAGGATTTTGCAATGTTTACGCTTTACGGGTCAACCTCAGTGTGGCTTTGGTGGCAATGGTAACTAATAGTACAGTTTCAAATTCAGAGAGCAAAAATGTTGAGGTTTGTTACTCCTTTTTATTTTCTGTAAGACAGTTAAAAATAATAATCAGATAGGATCCTGTGCAATCCCATCAGGATCTTGTAAGACATGCTATTAGGATCCTGCACAATCCTATCAGGATGTTGTAAGAGATATTGTTAGGATCCTGTGTAATGCTATCAGGATCTTTTGAGAGATACTGTTTGGATCCTGTACAGTCCTATCAGGATTCTTTAAGAGACACTGTTAGGATCCTGTACAATTGTATCAGGATCCTGTAAGAGATACTGTCAGGATCACGTATAATCCTGTCAGGATTCTGTAAGAGACACTGTTAGGATCCTGTACAATCCTATTAGGATTCTGTAAGAGATACTGTGAGGATCCTGTGTAATCCTATCAGGATTCTGTAGGAGATACTGTTAATAGGATCCTGAGTGTACAATTTTTTCAGGATCTTGTAAGAGATATTGTTAGGATCCTGTACAATCGTATCAGGATCTTGTAAGAGATACTGTTAGGATCCTGTATAATCCTATCAGGATTCTGTAAGAGATACTGTCAGGATCCTGTGTAATCCTATCAGGATCCTGTAGGAGATACTGTTAATAGGATCCTGAGTGTACAATTTTTCTAGGATATTGTAAGAGATATTGTTAGGATCCTGTACAATCCTATCAGGATCCTGAAAGAGATATTGTTAGGATCCTGTACAATCGTATCAGGATTCTGTAAGAGATACTGTCAGGATCCTGTGTAATCCTATCAGGATTCTGTAGGAGATACTGTTAATAGGATCCTGAGTGTACAATTTTTTCAGGATCTTGTAAGAGATATTGTTAGGATCCTGTACAATCCTATCAGGATCTTGTAAGAGATACTGTTAGGATCCTGTGTAATCCTATCAGAATCCTGTGAGAGATATTGTTAGGGTCCTGTACAATCCTATCAGGATTCTGTAAGAGATACTGTTAGGATCCTGTGCAATTGTATCAGGATCTTGTAAGAGATACTGTTAGGATCCTGTGTAATCCTATCAGAATCCTGTAAGAGATATTGTTAGGGTCCTGTACAATCCTATAAGGATTCTGTAAGCGATACTGTGAGGATCCTGTGCAATTGTATCAGGATCCTGTAAGAGATACTGTTAGGATTAAACTGCCACAAAAATTTAGTGCCACATGGTTTGGGAATGGTCTGGCCAGTCAGTTCTGACAAATGGAAGGTGCCCTAAGATTTGCCTTTAAGATCTTATATATGCAATTAATTGCTATTATGGGAAAATTGGATCAATTTGTCAAGATGTTAGGTTATAATTATTAAATAATTTGATTCTGATTTGTTTGTAGAAGCCTGCAGAATTTAACTGGAGCACTGAAACTCAAGGTGAACTTAAATGTTTTGAT